AGAAGACCAGTAAAGCTGTCTACAGATGCAAAAGCATTCATAGATCAGCAGATGTGCAAAAACGGTGAGATAAAAAGCTGCTAGATCCAGAAGGAGTTGGCAAAACATGGAATTACCGTGAGTTCGTCCGCCACGCAAAGGTCTTGCCACCAGCAAGGCAAACTCGTAATAAATTTTAGAAACAAATCGTGGTTGCACCACTGTGAAGGAGGTCTTCCAGAATTGTTTTTCCTTGTAAGTTTTAGAGTCCCAAAGAATACTACATAGGCAATGAAAATGGAGCAAAGTACACCCAGTATTTTTATAACAAATAACTACGAGGGGGCTGGGATTGAATAAACAGCAGCTGCAATTCTAGTTTTCTATAAAAGTAAAGAACCTAAAAACTTTTATGTTCAAAGGAGGCTTCGATAACCATTGTTTATGAAGTTTCGGCTGCATTGGTGAATGGTATGTATTGCTGCCACTTTGCTAAACACAGGAATTGTCGATTGAAACGCATTGTGTATCCAGCTAAAGAAAGGTGTGTTTTGATTGAAAGTTCCTCAAGTAGTTTGTGGCTGTTTGCTGTTTGCTTTAGCGGCTTGATACTCAGAACTGGAGATGTTTTTGTTTTGTTAGTGGAAGAAACTGAGCTCACTGTCTTCATATTACAGTAAGTACATTCTAATTCTCTGTATATGAAACTGAACTCAGGAGAACGAACCTGCTTGAAAACATACATACATACATACATACATACATTTTATTTGTTAAAATAATTTGTTTATTTATTTATTTATTATTTATTTATTTATATACATACATACATACATACATACATTTTATTTGTTAATAATCTTTCGCAAATTTTAGGCATGTGACTGTATGTTATCCTTTTATATGGTGATTGATGACTGCATATCCTGTTCTCCAGCATGAATTTACAAACAAATACATGAATCCAAATTTATCTTGTGTAAGTTACATGACAGTTTTTTGTCACTATATCGATCAGTCACAAAAAGTTGCGAAAATTGCGCGAACGCTGGTGCACTGCAGTTAAACGCCTTGCAAAATTTCATGTATAGGCTGGTGAATTATCGTTAGTGCTCGTGATTTTTCATTAACTTATCAAAAATTCAAAGAAATATCATCCTTTGTTATAACAAATTATTGCTCAACAGACCGCGCAATTTCAGTCAAACTTTTGAGCGAACTTTCATCGAAAAATCACAGGAACAAAGAACAAATTTGGGCATTTTTCTTGCATTACTTTTGCACAATACTGTACAATATTTGTAGAGCATGGTATAATTTTGCTCATACATGCCATGATGGCTAAGCCAATGAAAACTCTTGAACTGTATTATCCAATTATCCAGTTTTTAATAATTTGCAGTATAAAACTATTACAGATTTTGCTGTAATGTCCAGGTGTTGTTTCTTTGTTTAAAGCGGCTCACAGCAGGTTCCAGCATTTTTCACTACTTGCACTTAATATAGAAAAAATTTACCGTGCCGTTTCTTAATTATAAGCCCCTACGCTGTAATTAAGGGTGTTTTTAGCAGGTCATACTGTTTGTATGGTAACCTATTGTGTTACGAAAATGATAACGTGTTCACCAATGATTGGGCAGTTTTTTGATACCATGATTGTAGCATCAAGTGATAAAGAGTGGTTACAACAACCCGTCAAAGTCTAAGTGCTGGAAACTGTTCTGAGCCACCGTAATGAATCAATGATAGCACAGTATTTCAGTTAGTGCTACATTTCATGGCATCAAATGAAAGCTCTGTTCTTGATAAACAAGTATTAATTATTTCAAGACGCAAAATATGTTACCATGACAGCAGCAGTATAGATCATTAAAAGCACAAAATTTTAGTTTTAAGAGCTCATAACTCGGAAACAATTTGGGGTCCCTCATGTTTTATTACCGACTTACAATTAACTTGTTAAAATGCAACCTTTTGCCAAGTGTAAAAATAATTTTGGGAGAGGGTGAAGGCCACTTGAGAAATTTAAAAATTTAAGGTGGTTCTGAACCCTCCTGCACAGTTTTTTTAAACTTTGTGAAAAGTTGACCCTTGACATGCATATCACTAGTCACTCAAAGCTACATGTATGGTAACTTGTAATACCAAGAAAGTTGTACATTTTACCTTGTTCAGCATTGATTAAGAATTTGTTTAATGCCATAATTGTCATGTCAACTGACAAAAAGTTGTGTTGTCAATTCAAGTACTCAGGAATGCTAAAAACTGCTGCTTCCTTAATTTATAACATGTCTAAAGATATGGCCATTAGCTGGTCCAGTGGCTGGGGGAACAGAGATTGAGATTCATGGATCTGATCTGGGAAAAAGCTTTGGTGATATTAGAGACTCTGTTTTTGTGTCAGACTTTAAATGCCATCCTGACCAAAGCAAATATCAACCCTCTAGGAGGTAAGTTTTCCATTGAAGCTTTCCAGTGTTAAATCAACAACTTATTCTAACAGATCTGCCCTGTGCACAAAAATTAAAATGCACTGATATTTGTCTGTGTATTTTAACCTCTCTCAAGCTATTCCTGGACAGTCTTTTTCTCTTTTACATGACATCCAAGGGAAAAGCCAATAAAAGTGTGCACTATTAATCATAAGCATGTAGGTGTCAGGAATTGACAACTGCCAGTGGGAATTGAATTAAGGAGGAAAATCTTTCATGTCCAATAACTGTTTAGAGAAATCAGACTTTTTGCTTTTGGAAATGAAAGCTTCTTAGGAGATTTATGAGAGATTCAGAAAAACTAACACAATATCACAAGAATTTTAGTCTATTTTGTAGTGGCTTCTACTATAGACCTTAACGCTTGGTTAAAGTTAAGATGGTTATGCATAGAATATTATGCTTAATCATCCAATCTACCATCCATGATGACGAACATTCCTTTTGGAATTGTTTACAAGAAAGCAGCTTACAATGCTTGTTTTTTTTTGTACCATGTATGTTACACAGTATCTTCTGTAATACATCAAGCAGTGGTCGCCCTCAGTCTGGCACTGTTACGGTAACAGTCAGTAAAATCAAAGGAGAATCAAAACAGCTGTTTTTTTACCAGGTTGGTCTGTTACCTGAACTTATAACAGGTCAAAGACAATTAAGGATGTTTGCACTAATTGTTTCTGCACATCCTTGCTGCACACGCAAATTCACATGCCACGTCATGCATCGAGTGCACACGCTAAGTAATAAAGTGAACAATGATAGGTCAGATGGCCATTGTTATAGCTCTGTCTGGATTTCACGATTTTGGACATTTGGTGACCCCTACTTTTCTTTCCAGAAACAGATTTTATTTACAATTATCTCCACATTGTCCAAAAATGAACAAAAAATCAATGTGGGAAGTTAAAGAAAAATTCAAGATTTCTGTCCACAAGACATCAAATCCTGCCATCTTGTACCTGCAAGGCGTGTTAAACTATGGTCACTAAATGCGAACTTGTTCTTTAAGGAACCTTGCCAGTTGACTAAATTCACTTAATAGGTCCATTTAAACAATATTGGCAGAGGCCATTTCACTTCAAAGATCTAATTGCAATATTTTTGGTCTTACAGAAACTGTGGCCTTATTCGCTAACAAAGCCCGATTTTTTTAGATATAGGGTGTTCTTCCAGGCATGTTCTCTCCAAAACGAAGTCGGTGACCTCCCATTTTTTTTACATATCTGACGTAACAAACTCATCATCTTACAGTGGTAAAAGTCTCCTGAAAAAATCAATGTTGGAAAATTTGCGTGCGAACATCCTTAATAGAGGTTTATGTGCATGTATTTGCCAAAGGACTTTTGTAAGTAATAAATCTCAACTTCATTTTGACCGTCCTTTCTATTTTTTTCATTTGACCTGGTATTAAATTGTGCACTGTACAGTGTGTAGTATATGTATAAGTTATATTGCAAGGACCTCACAGACTAAGATTATAGAGAATAATCTTCAACGTTTGAAGTCTTTCCTATTTTTTGAGGAAATGTTATAGTGCCTTTAACCTTTATCCTGAGAATAATGCTCCCAGAGAAAACTTGACCCCATTCCAATATCCCCTTCTGCCCAAAATATGAAATTCTTTTGTTCAACAATTATTTTAAGGTAGTTGAAAGTTTGTAACAAAGTGATAAAACTTTTGAACCCTGATCACTATAATTATTGTTTGATATTTTTATTGCCACTTCATTTACAGAACCCAGAGCCACAGGATTTCTACCCCAAGAAGGGTCCTCAATCTGGAGGAACATTAGTAACTATCACAGGCCTTAAAATGGACACTGGAAGATACATTACAGCCCAAGTTGCTGGACGGTCATGTATTGTTGACAGGATCAGGTAAAAATAGCGATTTGTTCGTTAGCCGTTTGCTAGCCGTTTGGTTTGACCATTTAACAGATATCTTTTAGTGTACGTTTTTGTGTGAGAGGTCACTAATTATCACTGTGAGAAGAGAATTAAAACAATTGAACGTTCTTTTCACCTGCTTTAGGAACTATATGGGCACAATTGAAAACCATATTTTAATCGCAACAAGACAAATATGACCAAGATTTTCTGGCGATTTTCATCTCAAGCGCCTTAAAGCTGCTTTGTTATAATTATGTAGACAAGTGAATCAGTTCTGTTTCTTGGTTAAAGGTTAGTGCACACAAAGGGACAAGTCCCTTCATGTGCTCAACAATTTAGAATTCAAACTGGTTTGAATCGAAGGGACAAGTCCCTGTGACTAGTCCATCAAAATCCTTTGTGTGAACTGTTCTTGGGACAAGTCCCAGTGAGCAATTTAAAATCAATGACAGATCCACCTGATAAGATCACATAAGTCCTTATGAGCCCTTTTTCAAGTTTGCAACTTATGGTGGCCAAACACAGGTTTTGCACGTGCTTTTGCTGATGCAATTCAGCACGTGCACAAGGATTGCAACAACAAACACACTGTCAATAGAGCGATCATTTTATTTACTCAACACCCGCACTATCTGTGCTATTTTTCTTTATTATTGAACGGAGTGTATTGATGGCTTTAGTCTTTTATTACAAAGATATGTTAGAAAAGCTAATGATGCAAAGAACCCAGCAATTCTTAGCTTTTTCTTTGTTACCAAAAGAACCCAGTTAAACGCAGTGCATGTGCAGTTGCTCAAAACATACCCATGCAAGGCATGCAAGAGTTATTTTTTTTTTTTTGTGAAGTGTCGGAGATAGGAGCATTCATGGAGCTGTTTACAGTTATGATTTGGTTAATTTGACCAGTTTTTTTGGTTTGGATGTACAGCAAGAAAGAAACTGGGAATTTATGATGTACATGCGATGTTACATTGGTCATAGTAAGATAGCTAAATAGTAAGCCATAAAATGTTTGACTGGACAAACTACAGTAATCTGACACGTCTCCAGATTAATGTAGATACTGTCTTATTTTCTAACAGGCAATTTGATTCATTCTTTAATACAACCCACACTGTGATTGGTGTGATACACACACGGATGCATAACTCCCTCACTCACTGATCACATAGCCCTTCCAACCTCCAAGAGGAATTTTTGCTCAAAAATACTCAAGTTAAATAAGAGACCTTTTTGCATTTTATACGAGTTGTAAGTTTACCCTTTTTACACAACACAACACAACACTACTTCACTGAAAATAGAAAGAAAGAGAAAAAAAACCTCTCTGACACGTTGAAAGTCTGATTGAATTAAATTGCACTTTAACTTGGTGCCACGCAGTCTTCAAAGAACATTTGAGCAGTTTTCATACTTTTTACCTATAAAATATCGGACTGAAATGAATGTCATCAAATAAAACTATTAAACTGTTACTACTACAGAGACGTAAAAACCGTCCAGAAATGAAAGCTTCTTTTTTGTTTAATATCCTGGAAACAATAGCCGATAACTTGTCAGCTCTAATTGAATTTACTCCCATATAAAAACAAAAGTGTTAAGTTACCATTTGTAACTAAAGATAGCAAACATCTCGTGGGAAAGAGTGGTGACAATTCGTCAGCTCTAATTGAATTTACTCCCTTGTGAAAAACAAGCGTGTCAAATTACCCTTTGTAACTAAAAAATAAAAATATCTCGTTATATTTGCATGTAACAAGAACAAAACAATCGTTACCTACTCTTACTATTGTAAACGTTAAAACTCTTTCAAATCTAAATAGTCTCGTCTCCTCTAAAACATGTCCTAAGAACTAGAAGCGTCAATTCATGACCTCTAATTGAATTTACTCCTTGTGAAAAACAAAAGTATCAAGTTCGCTGGAACAATGGAACAATAGGAGGATTGAAATGCACCAATCACAGCCGACCTTTGTGACATAAATGATACCGTGCAATCAGTCGACCTTATCGCCTGAAGAAGACTAGCAGTAAGCAGTTGAAACATCGCGATCTACATCTCAAGTGACTACATCGTGAGACAAACGATAATACACTTTATTATCAAGTTACCTTTGTAACTAAAAATGAAAATATCTCATGCCATTTGCATACTACTAACTCACGAACTGTTTCAAACCTCAAGGCTCATCTCGTTCATAACTAAAATCCTCATCCTAACCCACAGAAAATGTCAAAGTAAACCCAATATATGAATACTTCCTCCTCTTTTATAGAAGAATAAATATGCCGTTCTGAACTGTATTGGGATCAAATCTTCTCACATACCATTTACCTTTACAACACGAAATTTGATTGGCTGTTTATAGTAGATCCAATCTGATTGTTGTGACATACATACATCTCTCACTCACTTATCCATTGTCCCGTCCATAACATACCCGATGTGCCGACTAAGAGGTATCTTTTCAAAAAAATAACTCAAAAATTGAGACTGATTGCTTTTGCAGAAACTTGCTGATTTCTAATGATCCAGTTGTTAGAATTTCAAGAAATTTGGCAAAAAAAATAGTTCAGATACCACGTGAACTATCTTTACCAAAAAACTGAATTTTGACATAGGGAATTTTTAATAATACAGATCATGCGGTGAAAACGATTTATGGCGAATTATGAAAAGCGTCGATGACAAAATTTTATTAGAACAGTGTTGACAGAAGGGATTTAATGTCAATTCGTATTAGGCAAATGATGAAAAAATCTAATGACTGGATTTTTTTTAAATAAATAAAAACCATTTTTTGAGCTTTGTTTTTAACCAGTCCTGTTGCCATGGCAACAGCACACGCCTTAGCCAAAATGCGAGAATAAACCCTTCTGAGGTTAACCTTGACTCTTGCAAAAAACTGGGGCCAAAGCATAAATAGTTTAAAAGTAATGGTGAATTAGGCATAGGCACTGTGCTCGGCCACCTTAAAGGCTGAGCTCAGGAAGACAATGTTGATTTTTAAGTAGGAGCTTGGAGTGTCACTATCACAAGAATTCTGGTAGAAGTTCACCTGTCAAAAATTGAAAACTCTGTTATTTGGAAATCAAGAACAAAAAAACCAGTCAAAAGCAGTCAATGTAGCTTAACAATCTACAGTTTCACTGTGCTGATTAATTTCAATGCTCCATTTGTAATCAAATAATTTCAGTTACAATTTGAGAAAGCTGCAGAGTGAAGAAGTGATTCCTTTTGCCCCTAGTGTTTGCTATGTTCCTGTGCAATTACTCCCAGCTTGTAAACACTGCAAGGGACTTGTCACAAGAGCTACATGAAGTGATATAATCCTGGTGACTTGTTCCCTTGTGTGTGCCAACCTTAATGAGTAATGCTAACAGTGCTCATAACATTACCCACCACAGTCTTGTGCTTTTTCACATGCTATCACAGAGCAAGTGCCATATGTTTTCTTTAATTTCCACACAGTACTCAGCATATAAGTGTTAAAATAATGAATGTAAGTACGTACATTTTTGCTTACTTTGTTTTTCAGAAATTGAGTGCAAAGGAGCAAAAATCTTCCTTAGCCGCAAGTTGAAATTCAGTCATTTTTGTGTGCTGGCAGAAATGATAAAAAATCAAGGGGATGTTTTGCTGTGAGCTTTTCAATAGCCTTTTTCATAGTATACTTTGTTATTTCAATTACAATGTAATCCAATGGGGATGCGATGCAACTGTGGGCAAAAACTACAAAATTGCCAGCAATTGCCTCGCATACAAATGTTAGATTACATTGTAATGCAAATGATCACACAAAATGACTAATGCTGAGTACGCTCTAGTTTGATCCATGGTATCCATGGTATAAAGGGAGACACAGTGGCCTCATGGTTAGTGGGCTCAAGTCCAAAGCGAGTGGTCCGGGTTCGAGTCCTGGCCAGGGACATTGTGTTGTGTTCTTGGGCAAGACACCTTGCTCTCATAGCACCTCTCTCCTCTCAGGTGTTTAAATGGGTGCCAACGAATTTAATGCTGGGGGCAACCCAGTGATAGACTAGCATCCCATCCAAGGTGGAGCAGAAATACTCCTAGTTGCTTCATGCTATTGGGACTGGGATAAGCTCTGGCCTGATGGGCCACTAGGCTCATATGCAGACTTAACCCTTAACCATTTCTTATCCATGATATCACAAAGAATTACCCAGGTGTATTTTTCACAGGGTAACAAATACCAGTGTACCATGTGTGATTAGCCAAACTCCTGGAAGAAGAAAAAGAATAAGTGCAAGTACAGGTGTCACAATATCGTTTGATGGTTTTACACCAACTGGCCCCAGGGGAATTTTCACATTCACACCTGATCCTACAGTCACTTCAATTGAACCAAATGAAGTATTTTTCAGGTAAGTTTTTACATTGACAACTTTACGAACAGTCATGTTTTTGTCTGATGCTAGGTGACATACAGTCACTTCCTTCTATTGAGCTCACAAAGTATGTTTTTAGTTAAGTCACTTGAAACTGCCTTTATTATCTAAGTTAATAAGGCTTTATTGTTTTATTTTCGTTTTGTTTTGGATTTTGTTGTGTCACATGTAGAAGCTACATGTACATGTATATTATGGACTATTAATTGCACTTACTTAAAACAAAGGAATAAAATCACACCTAACTGTATATGTAGGGCAGTTCTTCTTTTCACATTTTTTCCCTTATAAGTAGTAGTCACATACACCTATATGGCACCAATTTTTGGTACAGGATCCAGCAAGTGTTACATTACTATCGTAAAGAAAACACAACCTGGTGGTAGTAACCAAGATATAGATGTAAAGGCAAGGTTGACAGAGATACCTTTAAGAGGCTCTTGCACAACTGAGCAAATTACTGTAGCTGGGTGAGTTTGTGTAGTGATGGGACGACTGAATACTACATCAAACTGCTACCTTAAAATATCTTTTCTAGGGCAAATAATTGTTCCTTACCTGAAGGGAACAATCTTTCAGCCTCTCTGTAAAAGCTTTTTCAAAGTCTGTGAGCTTTTTTCATTTCCCACAGTGTGGTAAGGCAATGTTTGATTTCAAAGCTTCGGTTGTTCATTTCACTTAGATTGAATTAAGATGAACCCGGTTGGCTCTTTTGTCCAAAACTTTCTCTTCTCGAGAATTTGTGTAATACCCCAAAATTTATGCTGCTGGACTTACTTTTAGTTCAAAATGTTTTGCATGGGTTTATTTTTGCTGGGGTTACTACTGGAAAGAATTTTGTTTCAAAATTCAAAATGCCAGTGTGGAAAAAATCTGATGTGCACATAGAAATTGTTTCAATAGTTGGTTTGCACTGGAGCATCCTGTATTCTTTCCTGGTTGCCGGCCATGCTAAGTTTTCCTTGACTGGTGCTTTGGCTTGGCTAAGCAGGCAGTCCGCAAGACTTTCATTTCAGACCTGTTTGAGTTGGCTCATACAATTGGCAACTCAAGTGTAATGGGTGTGAATATTTCACAACTCTGTGGGCTCCATGATGGCTCGGTTCTCTTCCCACATACAACTGGGCCAGCTATTTTGATAAGTACTTCAAAAAACTCCCAGGCGTGAAGGGGTATCATCACTTCTGCTTCAGTAACGACTAGCCTGGGCGAGTCTTCTGTAAGCGCTGTGTTGATTCTGAAGAAGTGGAGTTTGATTTGCTCGGAGATCCGACAAAACTTCCGCCTTGTACACTTCCTCATATCATTAATCCACCAGGCCTGGATTTAGAGAGGAAGAGCTATCTGACAGGTATAAGGAAATCTGACAGTTTTACAAACCAAATTCTGCGGATCTGGTAGCGCCAAAACCATGAAACAGTAAACCTTGTTGAAAATGTAAGCTTCATAGATTGCCCAACAATTAGGACTTTGAAATTTACGGACAAAATCTTCTAATGAAAGTGAAAAGCGTTTTAAATATCTCATTCAATTTTTGTGTGTGCAGAGATCACACAAAGTTAGCAGCAGAAATTTGTCTGTTTACAAGAGTCACATGATTGAAAGGAATTCTACTAAGATGACTGAGCACTAGTTTAGATCCGTTAGATGAGAAGATTGGGTGCTAGGTGGCTTGTGCAAGTGGACTTTCTGCCTCCTTCATGTTGGCCGCTTTGCTTTTGTGTACCATTTAACGGTTTCCCAGCTTTCAGTTGCCAAGGTAGGTTTTTCTCTTTTATAGCTTGCTTTGAGGTAAATTATCTGTTTGCATGTATCGAAAATCTCTCGTATCCTTTGTAATTTTGTATTTAAGCTTGTGCTTAATTGCATGTCTGTTTTCATTTATTGAAAATCCAGCTTCCTAATTTCATGTGGGCTTTGAAAATGTTGATTGCAGTTGTATTGTTTATTGATAGCTTTCTTTCATTACCCCTTCAGGTGACCTTAACGGGAGTTATTTTGCTCACACAAACCAACCGTATCAAGACTTGGCTTGTGGTTAGTGCAGGTTGCATAGGGGCTAGTACGCTTTCGCAAGCTAACATTTATCGGCCTGAATGTTTGGCACAGGTTGCCCTATAGAGCAAAAGGAGTCATTTTACTTTTGCAAACATCGGCTTGAACATATTAATGTAGGCAGCACTTGGAAGTGAGACATATTGTCAGGGATTGTCAGAGATCACTTGGCAGAAACTCTCAGAAACAAAAAGACTGCCTTGCACTTGCCTTGTACTTGCATTGTTAGAAATACTGATACGTGAACAGTGTTTACAGTCACCCTGTTGTTGCTTTTTCAAGATCAAAAGTTAGTACGCGAATCACGGTTGAACAATACCGGTCAAAGATAGGCTTTCATAACCATTTCGTGAATGCAAAGAATGCCTTATCGCGTTTTAAGGATCAGTTCTGGAATATGATTCGTGTGGCACAAATTACGGGCAATGATGTCATATTGTGGAAAATTTGCTACAATTCTCGGAGCCAAGAGGTTAATTCTTATGCCAAAATTGAAACAAGTTATTACAACAAAAAATGTGAAATGAGGTGATGTTTTGGTTGACACAAATGATGTGCTGCAATGTGTATACTCCATTACTTATAAGGCAAATGAGTGATGTGAAGGGAAATCTAAACCCTACAATTTTTGATGTCATTGATCCGATCATCATATTCTGTGAATTAGAGCATGCATGAAATGGACACGCACCCCAACTAAATGTAAACGTTCTAAATGTAAACACTATCTAAAATTACTTGTGAGTGGCTTCCAGAATAACTTGCATGTTTGTTTCAACAAATTTCGAGGTAAAACGCTAGTCATAATCTATCAAAACAGATATTATAGGGAAATTTTTAAGTTAAAGATAAGAATACTACTCCAAACAACTAAAACACTATTTTCTAATTAAAATTTCTCAAATCACTCCAATTGTGATTGCACAATGTTGTGTTTTAAATTGAGTTAAGAAAGCTTGCCTATGAAAAGTGTTTAATAGTGGTGACAAGGTTAAGTGCTTTAATAAGGTCAACAAGGGTCAATTCATGCCTCTCAGCTTTGTGCTTTCAGCATCTGGTATCTTTAAAAGATCTTATCAACTTCAGTGCAACGTAAAGAGGAAAACGGAGGCAGCTAACAACATCTCACTCAAAACCCTACCATGACAATCAAAACACAAAACTACAGTTGAACCTGTATTAGGTGGACACCCTCGGGACCCTTGCAAGTGTCCACTTAATACAGGGTGTCTGGTGAAAACAAGTTCCCTCAGAATTCGTCTTAAAAGGGTCATTAAGATCTGTCAGTATTAAAAGACCTTGAAAGGGTCAGGTAGCATTCTCATGAATGGTCAGTAACTCTCCTTAAACAATGACAAGTGTCTGACTTAACACAATTTAAGTATACAGTAACCATATCTACATTGATCGACAAATCATGTGAAGGTTTACAAAATCAACAAGAACAAGAGTTCCGTAAAAACAAAACCAAATAATAACACATTGCATTTCTGTGAGAGCTCAGTTTGTTGGCAAACTTTAATGACCAATCTACTAAAACATAGACAAAAAAATCAGGCATTCTTTTTGCAGTGTCTGTTTGATACAGGTTTCTAACAATAGAAATGACCATAAAAGTCAAGTTTAAGGTGTCCTCGTCTGCTTAATAGAGGTGCCCGTTGAATACAGGTATTTTTTACAGTGAATTTGGGAAAAGAAAAATGGGACTTACACTGCTGTCCGCTTAATAGAGGGTGTCCGCTTAATATGGGGTCCACTTAATACAGGTTTGACTGTATAACAATATCATCTGATAATTTCCAGGTCAAATGCGTATCATTCTTTGTAAGACTCGGCCTCTCTCCTGCCAACCCCTTCTGGCCTGGAAATTTAATCAGTGAATATCCCCTCTCTTTTATCTCATGCTCTCATGGTTAAAAATATATATATACATTGTGGGTTCACCCTTCCCTTGAAATCTTCTCCTAATTTATAGCACATTAATATTTACTACATGTTATTCTTAGAACTACTCAGATTAAATTGGTAGCCAGAGATTCTATGTAGCATGACATAATAAACCAAAGACCTTCATTGATGTATAAAAAGCTCCCTTCCTTCCAAAGGTCTTTCACAACTGAACAGATTTTTCGTCAAAAAAGGTGCAACACTGTGACAACGGTACACAGTGACATAATAGTGGATTGTCTAAGTACACTAACAAATATAGCCTGGGTTGCAGCCATAAACGGGGAAGGTGTAGGTATTGGGTGGCAAAAAACGCAAAGAAGAAGGGGACGGAACAGCACCCTATCCCGTTAGAGAAGCTCGTTTCCAATAAGCAGCCCAGTTTAATTTCCACAACCAGGAAAATGAGTGACATGAATTTCATCACGTGTTGGACTCGACAACACAGTAAACATGTAATGCCATCGGATTAATTATCTGTTTGTTTCAGTTTTGACTAGTTGAAAAGGGAATTTATACAACAGCGTTGCTTTGCTAAATGTGCAAATGAGACCTAAACCTTTCAAATGCGCTGTAATGAGACTCCTTGAACATGATATACATATATCTTATTAGATGTTTTGGTGTGTAGTATCACTGTATATTTTTACGAGTTGTGCTGTGTTTTGACGAGCGCGTAGTAATACAAACAACGAGTAAACATATAAAGTGATACTACACAACAAAACGTCTAATAAGAGATTTATTATCCAACTGCTGTAGCCAATAAATTTAATATATAGTTTTAGGCCAGCCTAAAAGCGTAGCTCCTGGGCCGCGTTGTTCAGAGCCAAATAACCCAGGAGAAGGTAGAATTTTGATTTCAGCTTTTTTAGCTTTGCGGCGCGGTTTTCTGTATANCACATATATCACTAGCAGATTGTTGGTCTGTTCATGATAATTTTACACGGACAGCAAAAATTACTCAAAAGAAGGACGGAAAACCATTCAAACTGAACTAACAATGCCTTTAATAAATTACAGTGTCTCAATAGTTCAATGGCGGGATCAAAAGCCAACATGTTCCATATTTACTCTCAAGAAAGCAAAAGTTTTGTATCGAGCAAACTATTTAAGTGGAAAGCATAATTTCAAATTCTTTGGAAAGCTTGAGAATTAGTTTAGACAAAACGTACGTAGAATTATGTAGTAGCAAACAAAACATTCAAAAGAAAAGGTCGCATCTCACACAAATATGCAAATGTCATTGATCTCTCATGTAAACAATAACCTATTCACGCTTACATTCGCAAATGTCCGAAATTTTGGCCACTAAACTTAGGAGAAGTTTCACGTTCATTTTATCTTTTGATCTTTCCACAGAAATAAATAAACCAGTACCGAATCATATGGCAAAATAACATTTCTGCAAAACAAAAACAAAAATTTATAACATGCAGTGCTGTCATGCATTCGCCAGCATGTGATAGTGAATGCAAACTAGGAGAATAATTTTTTCCCCCAACATTTTCAAAGCGGGTTTTCAGAGTATTCAAAACATTTCTAAGGGGTTTCCAAAGTGTTTCCACGTTTCAGAGCGTTTCAAAAGGGTTTCAAGGCATTTTAAAAGGGTATCAAAATGGTTTCCAAAGGGTTTCAAAGCGTTTCAAAAGGGTTTCCAAAGCGTTTTAAAAGGGTTTCAAAACAGTTTCCAAAGGGTTTCAAAGCATTTCAAAAGGGTTTCCTGAGGGTTTCAAAAGGGTTTCCAAAGGGTTTCCAAAGGGTTTAAAACCCTCTGAAACTGGGTTTTGAAAGGATTTCAGAGCGCCCTCAAACCCCCTAGAAAATGCTTCTGTAGATAAGACGTGTTTTCGTATGGAGGGTCACAAATATTCCTCGTTTATACCATTTAATAAACCAAATGAAGGTAGACTTTTCTCGAAACGATGGCTAAACCGAGGAAAATCTTATTTAAAGTCCACAATTTGACCTGTAGTGGTGGATTATTTTATTTCCAAGCGTTTACGGCTCATATACATGTATATTGGTTATAGCTTATAGTTACCATCAAAATAGTGAATATTTGGCAAATTCATGGAGCTCTGTAAAGCCCGCAGTGGAGAGTGCTCACAAATTTCATACTATAGGTTTTTACGTTGATGTTCTTTTGAGCTATCATAGACTCGATCCCAGATCAGGTCCCACATTTGAGAAAATAGCTTTTAACCATAGGAATGTCATACTT